GATGCCATTTTTTTCTGTTCTCCTCACTGGGGCATAGTTCAAAGTCCTGCTCAGCCTTCATAACCTTCTCCTCACAAGATCTAATATCCTCAAACAGATTGCCAAAAGTATCCTTGTTCCAAATTTTCAAATCTTTTTTAAGACATTTCAACTTGTGAACAAATCCTCTCATACCCCCTCCCCCAGAGTTTTGCTCCCAACTTTTTTTAACAACATCAAAGAATGTAGAGTGGCTTAACCACATATTTTGAAATTTGAAGGGTTTAGGGGAAGAATGGTTGGTAGAGGAGCACCTTATTAGAATAGGGAAATGGTCAGAAGGTGTTTTCTCCAAAACATCTACCATAATATGTTGATAGAAATCACTCCAATTAGAGTTAATCAGATATCTATCCAAGCGTCTCCATACCCACCCATTAGATCTCACACCTGACCATGTAAACTGAGGGCCCATATAAGTTGGCTGCATAAGGTTACAGGCAAATATGCAGTCAGAAAAATCAATAATACTACTCAGGTTAGGCATAGATCTTCCTTTACGTTCACCATGAGCTGCAATTGCATTGAAATCCCCTCCAATCAACCAAGGCTCATTAATGGTATTAGAAAAGTCAGTTAAGCAACTCCACAAATCCTTCCTAGTTAGGTAGGTATGCTTACCATAGACTACTGTGAACCACCCACTAAAATTTTCTTTTCTGACCCTCATATGCACCAACTGATCATGCCACTTAATATTAAAAAAATATCAACAACTTCAGAGTCCCAAAAGACCCAGATTTTATTAAGAGAGGAGTGAATAACACTATTAAAACCAAAAGTTTTTTTAAAAGCATCAGCTTTGGAAGCATTAACCATAGGCTCAATGACTGCTAGAATGGTGATCTGCCATTGCCTCACTAGAGAGCAAAGTTTAGCACTGGCAGATTCCAATCCTCTAACATTCCAAGTTAGACAATTCATTAAGAACATTGTGTGAATTTTCAAGAAGCCAGTCTGCTGATACCTCAGTAGCTGACACAACTGATCCATCCATTTTCTTTGCAGCATTACGAGTAACTCTTGGAGAACCTCCAGGTACTTCTTTTCTTCTATTTCTCTTGCTCTTAACTGTGATGAAATCCCCATCCCATGTGTGTTATTATCTGCACTTGCAGTTTGATGCTCTATCATTTCCAGCCTCTTAGCCATAACATTCACTTTGTCATATATATCCTGCCAACCTATCTCCCAATTCTGAATAGGCTCAAGATTCTTGCAGGTTTCCCCTTCAGAGGAATACCCTTTAGCAACTAACTCTGCATCAAAATCCATCTGTTGCTTCAAGGCCTTCAAATAAGTATCATCTTGAATAGAGTAAAGTTTGTTGTTGTGAGCTATCCCGTTCACATTTTTCTTTAGAAGCTCCTGCATCTCCTTTTTGTTTAATGCATCAGTGTTATTTCCTGCTAACTTGTTCTGTTTTGCAGGTTGTTCTTCATGATAAACTTCCTCAGTATCCGTGTCCTCATCCACCACTACAGGAATCTGATAGTCTTGTTGCTTTGAGGAAGACTGATCATAAATGATTAGAGCTTTATTTAAATTCTGGCTGATAGAAGTAGCTGTATCATTATTTGTTGTAATAATTCCTTTACCCTTTTCAGCTCTTGTAAATTTCACCTGCTTTGCATGTCCCACTTTCTCAATCCACTTTTCCTTAGGCAAAGATGCCTTAGGAACTGATTTGATCATGATACTCTTAGGAACCGGTTCTGGGTTGTGTTTAGGGCACTTAGAGCTGACATGACCCAGGTGTAAACATAAGTTGCAGTAGTCAGGTTTCTGCTCATAAATTACTGGTTATGAAAATCCATTAGCCCCACAATTGATCCACAGTTTGTGGGGCATTTCTTGAGTTAGATCTAGTTCCACGCAAATCCTGGCCACAGAAGGTCTTGACAGACTAGTTGTGGCAGCGTCAAGCTTTAGGGGCCTTCCAATCAAGCCCGCAATATCAAATAATGCACGTTTATCCTGTAGGTGCAATGGCAATCCTTTGAATGCAATCCAAACTGGGACCACAGGGGACTCAACATTTGGACGAAAGTCCGGAGTCCATTTGGTTACCCTCATAACAAAACCCTGAATATTCCAACTCTGTCTGTTCCAACATCGAAAGTAGTCCTCATCCGATTCAAACCGGATAAGAATGTGCTTGCGTTCTAGAACGCCCAAGTGAAAAGCGCCCTTAAAACCGATGATTTCAAACGATTTGCGAATGGAATCTAGACTCAGCCTTCCTCGGTAGAAGTATCCGATCAGAGATCGTTGATGCTTCTCTGCCAAAATCTGGATATCACTCTCAGAAAAAGTGATAGCTGGCATTTCTTTGTGACGCGAATAGGTCTTCGTAGAAAGAGAACTCTTCGTGTTGTTGGCAACTACATCCGCGAATGACTTTCCTCCCCACGGAGGGGGCGGTCTCGGCGGCGGCGCCGCCACCATGGTGATATCCTTACTCATCCGCTAGGTCTTCCAGGAGACAACCATGATCCTTCCATAAGTTCTATTAGGTCAAAACATCAACTACACATTTTTTATTTTATTATTCTTCGTGCAAGTTAATTTTGACCAAGTTTTTAGGGAAAAGAGGGAGTATAAATAAATATAAATAATTTTAAGCACAATTATTGAGATCGTTGTTAAATTATATTTTTATATATTCAATATTGATCTCATATGAAAGATCACAAAAAAATATGAATTTTGATATAATTTTTGTGAACATTGGAACAAAAATGAAAAAAATTATAACACTTTAAAAAATCTGAGATTTTTGTATAACTTGGGCCCCACCAAATTCTATCTCCCTTGGCTGCTCTTCCTTTCCTTCGTTCGTAGCTTTGAAGTAAAAGAGTCTCCACGTGTCATTGTTATAGTTAAAGAGAAAATTATGGAGAGATAGAGAAGTTGGATTAATGAAGGGTAAAAATGTCTTTTAATGAGCTATTTTTTTCTTGTATATAAATAGATTAGTTTTGAGATTTTATTAGAAAATTTTCAATTATTGCAGATTAGTATGCAAATTATTTTTTAGGTTGGATTTAAGTTCTTGCTATTTCGTGAAGAATAATAGAATTAGACAATTAAATAAAATTGTGAAACTTAAAACTAGTATATAAAAAGTATTGATATTGATAAAAATGTGTAATTCTGAAAAAAACATAAAAGAATAATTGTTGAAAAAGAAGACGTTTGAGTCCTTTTAGTTAAAGAATAAGATAGCTAGATTTGTGGATTTGATGATAGTTTGAGATAAATTTAGAATAAGATATACTACTCTCCACGTTCCATTAAATTCTTTCTACATTGACTTGACACGCATATTAAGGAGGAGAGAGTAAGTGAAAATGTATGGTTATAGTTGTGTAAGAAAAATATAAATTAAATGAGAATCACACAAATTGTCAAAAAATGATAAATGAAAAGAATTTTTAGGGACGACGCAAAAAGGAAAATTGGAAGAATTTTATACCAATGGGGGAATACATTTTTTTCTTCGAGATTCACCACTTATGTTGCAGATAACCTTATGTGGCCCCTGGGAACAGAATTTGTGAATACACTCCAGGAGAAAGCCATCATTCCTTTCTCTAATAATTAAATGATACTCTGTCCCTTAAAATTCTTCTTGAAAGTTTCAAAAAAAAATCATTTCCCATTTTTAGAAAGTTTTGTGTCGTTCCGATTCATTTATTTTTTTCTTACTCAACCACTACCATACATTTCCAATTTATTCACACTTTCTTAAACTCCGATTCAAGTCAAATCAGGAAAAATTTTACCGGTCTCACGATTAAATTTCCGAGTTGACGTTTTAAGCAAGCCTTATAAAGTATAAACTATGGCTATTAATCATTTGAAATTTATATTACTTTATCACACAAAAAATACTTAGTGGTATATACGGAGTACTTCATTGTAATATATCTAGTGTATATAATATTATCGTTTCTATTTAATGTTCTCACTTTTCCTTTTCGGACATCCTGTATAAAATTTCTGTCTTTTTATTTGATAAACAAAACAATGCTAAACAGTATCAAATAATGCCCAAAAGTACCGAACAGTGCCATTTCCTTAATTTACGCGGTTTTGAAGTAGAAACATTAAATAGAGACGGAGAAAGCATATTTTTAAGTGAAAATAAAGTGAGATTTTAATATGAGAGGATTGTATTTCATGTTGCTTGGTGGAGTTGGTGCTGATAATTTATTTATCAAACTGTACATAATGTTTTGATGAATCGGAGTAGTTGATAACTCAGCTGAATTGTCGGTCGCCCGGAACGTCTAACACCACACATGCATTTAATTTGTAGTTTGGTTTCATCGTACAACTCAAATGCATCATCACGTTGTTAAGAAGGTGGCCCACGTGGGGGCTTATTCCACTTAGCTTGAACTACACTTTTATACTTTCCTTTATAAAAAAATGAGACCCCATCCCTCAAGGCCCCAATCACGATCGGACGGTATGTTGGGAGGATGTAAATTAGACTATAATGTCAATATGACAGATAGAGAGTGATGTTCTGTCCCCGATACTTGTAGAGACCCTATGCATTTTTAGCATAGTAACTCTTCATCGCAGTTGCCGGGATTCGAATCTGGGACCTAACCATTGTGGCACTCCCTTTTTAATTATACTTTCGTTCTACTAAAATTGAGACATGATGAATGACACAGTTATTAAGAAAAGTGAGTAGATATGATTAATATCTATAAGTGTGCACTTTACTAAAATTGGGTTACAAATATCTGCAAGTGTGCACTTTACTAAAATTGACATGGTTATTAAGAAAAACGAGTAGATATGATTAATTATGAATTGAAAAGTCAAAATAAAATAAGAATATTTTAGAATCACACGATATATGCTAAATTTGGTATGAGAAAATTTAAAAAATACAAACAAAAGAAAGCGTGACAATATTAGCGGAACCAAAGACCAATAATTTATCTTTTCGATTTTAGCATACGGAGTATAAATTAAGCAATAAACCTCCCATTCTTGAAACCATCTCCTCTTCTCTCCTTCTCTATATTCTTCTAATATAAAAAATGGCCACTACTTCAAATCCGGCCGTGAGTTGGTACATGAACGGCGGTGATGATTTTAGCTGGGCTGACGTCTCCGAAATCGACGGCGGCGATCTTCTTATGTCATTTCTTGATGATACCCATGGCGTGGCGGCGGAGGATTACGATGATGAAAGATTGAAGGGTGTGATCAAATCTTTGGAAGCCGAAATAGTCAACGTGGACAACGGCTTGTTTGAGGGTGGTCAACGGGAAAACCACTCCAAAGCCTGTCAGCCGTCCGATGCCGGTCAACTTCACAGTCAAGATCTTTCGAAGATCAACGATCTGGATTTGACGATGATAGATATGGCTGGCATGGGAATGGAACCTTACTTCCCCACAGCAAATGATGGCATCAACGGTTGGTATTTGGAAGAGAATTGCAAGAATGAGATGGACGGTGTGGATGGAGACGAATATTGCAATGGAGTTAATTTTGAGGACATTAGTTATCATGGATATCTTTGGCCAGAAACAAATGGCTCTGATCTTTGCCTTTGAGTATCTGAGGCCAAACCAGAATTATATTTTTCTGGATATATATGGTAGATTTATCTATTTGAACTGAATGAGGAATGGATTGAAATTAAAATCAAGCTATTGGTTCCAATGAATTGGTCTATTATCATGTGTACATACAATTGGTTTTCAAAATTAAAAAGAAGGAAACAGGTTGTGCTTTTTGGTAGAACATTTCTAAAGCATGCAAAAAAGGAATCAAATGTGCTCTTTCAGTCCTTCCTCCCAATATTTTCTTACTCATTAATTTTTACTTCAACACGCATTATAAGTGTACTTGTCTGGGAAAATGTCCTTAAATTACAAACATTTATTAGTTACAGGACTGACCTTGCAATTGACTAAAATTATGTCAATAATAATGAAAAACCGTCAAAAGCTATCACACTAAAATTGCAAATATCCTTAAATCGCAAAGATTTATTAATTACATGACAAAACTTGCAAGTGACTAAAGTTCCAGAATTAATAATGAAAACAACCTAAAGAAGTGGGACTAAAATTGCAAATCTCTCTGCACACATATTATGAGCTAAAACTCAAAACAATTTTATTTTAATGTTAACATAAACTTCTTCATTTTTGTCATTTAACCACTCATCAGTTGCTTTAAACCTAGGCTAGTAGTTTTATCAATTCAAATCCAAAAGATAGAAGAGATATCGGGGACCTGAAAAATTAAATGTGTCGATATATGAAGTGGATGATTGAAAATTGTCAATCTAAGGCCTAAATTACAATGAATTTTATACTTTTCTAATTTCAAATATTTTATCTATTATTTTAATTTTATTAAACTAATAAACTTTTGTGAAGAAAAATTAATAAAAAATTAGCAATGGAATTATTAACAAAATAAATAAATCAAAATTTATGACATTTTACGTCTTTGCTTTATAATATTCAATCATTCAAAATTTATATTGACATATTTAATCTTTCAGGTCTCTAATTGATAGTTTTCTATTTTCCAGAACCCTATTCGATAGTTTTCTATATTTTAGGTCGAGGATTAATAAAATTCCTTAAACCTAACATAAGTATCCATACCTAAACCCCTGGATTTGCTCTTGGTTTATTGATCATGGAGTAACACATAATACACTAATTTCAAAAAGAAATTAAAAAAAACATACAAGCCCGCCCAATAAACTATTCCCCTACAAGCGAGCATAAGTCCAAGACAACATAAGCCCTATTATAACTCAAGTTGGATTGGACTTGAGAATACGGGTGTAACCGGATTAGAATGAATAGAAATTGAGGATCTGTTTACTAACAGAGATATTTTCCAGTGTTTCAGAAAATTGGAAAACTAGAAAACAGAAAACGGGAAACGTGTTTACCAAAAAAAATTGCTGGAAAACTGGAGAAAGAAAAACAGAAAAACGCGTTTATCAAACCGTTTTCCAAAACGAAAAAATGAGACATTGCATGTCTCTCTTTTCCTTAACGAAAAAAATGCAGATGGTACAGGCCGCTGCAATGAATTTACGTACTTACACCTAGTGGTGGGTCTGGTCCCACTCCGATGTCGATTCCATTCTAGTACCTCCATCCTCGTACCTTACCCCTTACTCCTACCCTACCCTACCCACCCCACCCCAACCCCACATACCCATTTTCCCTACAATGACCCTACCCCACCCCTTACCACATGCCCCTACCTCGGTCCCACCCCGATCCACCCTACCGCCACCCCCTACCACATCAACCCCACCCCGACCCACCCAACCCCCACCTCGTGTATTATCCCTTACCCCTACCTTACCCCTTCCCACATGCACCCTACCTCAGCCCCACCATACCACCATCCTACCCCCACCCTCGTACCGCCATCCTACCCCCACCACCACCCTACCCCCACTCTACCCTTTTTCCTACCTCGGCCCCACCCTGATCCCGACCCCACCCTACCGCCATCCTATCCCAACTCCCTACCCTAACTCTACCTTACCCCAACCCTACTCACTACCCCCACCCACCCCCACACATACCTTCCTTCCCTACCCCTACCCCTATGAGTAGGTATGGGTGGGTATGAAGGGTTTTAGGGGAGTATGGGTAGAGTGTAAGATCGTGGTAAGGGTAGGGGTAGGGGTCACGGCTGCGGAATTGAATTGGGTGTAGGGTGTAGGGTGGGGGTACGAGGTATAGGGGCAGGGTAGAGGTTAGGAGTATGGGTACACGTACGAGGTGATCGACCTCACATATTATATTATATATTTGTGTTCATGAATGTTCGTGTGTCTATATATGTATCGGGTTATTTCGGACATTTTAATGTTAGACGGTGTTGATGGATAGTGTACCCGGGGGGTAGTTTATCCGAGGGGTTATTACGGAGAATAACTAGAGAGAAGTCAGAGCAAATAAGTAAGATAGAGAGTGTATATTCGATATGTATTCAGTGTATTTTGCTTCTGGGTTACAAATGGGGAAATGAGGTGCTATTTATAGTAGTAATAAATGCTAGATAAGGACACGTGTCAGTTTTCTTATGGTGGAGGGGTCACCTCGACCGGGGTGACACTGACACTCGCATGTGGCCGCATTAAATGCGGTGGTTCGATGTGACGTTTGTACTTGGTACGGTGATCCAGGCGCATGTGAAGAGGATATTCTGTCGAGGTGGATGCCTTCGGCTGAAGGGTGCTGGGCCGAAGCCTCTTCTAACCGAGGGCTCCTACCTGCCGAGGGCTGCAGGTGCCGAAGGCTTGGTTTTCAAGCCTTGTTCTCCTGTGATGCCTCTTCTAACCGAGGGCTCCTACCTGCCGAGGGCTGCAGTTGCCGAAGGCTTGGTTTTCAAGCCTTGTTCTCCTGTGATGTCTCTTCTAACTGAGGGCTCCTACCTGCCGAGGGCTGCAGTTGTCGAAGGCTTGGTTTTCAAGCCTTGTTCTCCTGTGATGTTTCTGAGCTCGATTCTGTCACTGGTAGCCTTCGGCCATGGGGCCGAATGAACTCCTTTGCGTATTGTGGGCTGGTTAGAGCTCCATTTTTCTGGGCTTGGCCCGTTTGGGCCTGTTGGGCCTGATTGTAGTAGAGGAAGTATGTGGGCCGGGGGTCCCTGGGCCATATACTCCATCAGGAGTCCCCCACTCCTTTTGCCGAAAGGTACTTGAGGGAAAAGGAGTAGCTGTGGTGATTTCCCCGAAGGCTTCCCTGTTCTGTTGGGTGCCTCATTTTCTCAATTCCCCCATATGTCGAGGACTGAGAGATTCCTGAAGGGAGTGTACGTGTGTTGCTCGTATGTATTTCTTTGTTGTAGTTTGTAAAGTAATGAGAGATCTGCATTTGTGTGCTTTGCCGAGGGCATTTGTTGACTGAAGGCTTTGTGTGGCCGAAGGCATCATGTGGCCGGAGGCATCATGTGGCCGGAGGCATCATGTGGCCGAAGGCATTGTGTGGCCGGAGGCATCATGTGGCCGAAGGCATTGTGTGGCCGGAGGCATCATGTGGCCGAAGGCATTGTGTGGCCGGAGGCATTCTGTAAGCCGAAAGCATCATGTCGAGGGGAGTAGATTGCCGTTGTGATCTTGCCTCAGCTTGCTGTAGCTGAGAAATAGAAAATTTTTAACATTTGCGTGTTTTGCCGAGGGGAGTCCCCCAATCCCCCACTCCTTTTGCCGAGAGTTTCTCGATGGAAACAGGAGTAGAGTGATGCATGCCTTCAGCAGGAGCCGCCGAGGGGTGACGCCTTTTGTTCGACAATGGGGAGATGCCTCGTTAAAAACCTCATTAGGAAAAAACCCTGTGGGAAAAAATCCTAATGAGGGAAAAAGAGTACACCGGATGCCCTCAGAATGAAGCAAAAGGAGTGCACCCTTCGGCCTTGATTGTTGAGCGGCGGTTGTATCCGTCTGCTGAGGGGATATCCAAGATCAGCCTTAGATCCTGCATGAAAAAGCTAAGGAGCTTGTAAGGACCCCCCCCCCCCCCCCCCCCCCGTTATCAAATAAAGGTGACGGAGGGGTGCAAGGCCAGGTGGGCTTGTGTTAGAGCCCCTAGCATCAAATACAGATGCCGGAGGGATGGAGACCGAGGGGTCTTCGTGATGGCCCCCGAAATTAAATAAAGATGTCGGAGGGATGAAGGCCGAGGGGCCTGTATGATAGCTCCTGGCATCAAATAAAGATGCCGGAGGGCTGAAGGCCGATGGCCTGTGTGATGGCCCACGACATCAAGTAAAGATGTCGGAGGGATGAAGGCCGATGGGCCTGTATGATAGCCTCTGACATCAAATAAAGATGCCGGAGGGATGAAGGCCGAGGGACCTGTGTGATTTCCCCCGACATCAAATAAAGATGCCGGAGGGATGAAGGCCGATGGGCCTGTATGATAGCCCCCGTCATCAAATAAAGATGTCGGAGGGATGAAGGCCGAGGGGCCTGTGTGATGGCCCTCGACATCAAATAAAGATGCCGGATGGATGAAGGCCGATGGGCCTGTATGATAGCCCCTGGCATCAAATAAAGATGCCGGAGGGATGAAGGCCGAGGGACCTGTGTGATTGCCCCCGACATCAAATAAAGATGTCGGAGGGTTGAAGGCCGAGGGTTGCTGTGATGTGGAATCACGCTGAGGCCGAGGGCCGTTGTGATGTTGAGGTCGAGGGCCGTTCTGATGTTGAGGCCGAGGGCCGTTGTGATGTGGAATCTCACTGAAGCCGAGAGCCGTTGTTGATGTAGAATCACGTTGAGGCCGAGGGCCTTTGGTGATGTGAAATCATGTAAGGCAAAAACCATTATGACATAGAGTCATGTTGAGGCCGATGGCCGTCTGATGTTGAGGCCGAGGGCCATTGTGATGTCATCACGCTGAGGCCGAGGGCCGTTGTTGATGTTGAGGCCGAGGGCCGTCCTGATGTTGAGGCCGAGGGCCGTTGTTGATTTTGAGACCGAGGGCTGTTCTGATGTTGAGGCCGAGGGCCGTTGTGATGTGGAATCACGCTGAGGCCGAGGGCCGTTGGTGATGTGAGATCACGCTAAGGCCAAAACCGTTATGACATGGAGTCATGTTGAGGCCGAGGGCCGTCTGATGTTGAGGCCGAGGGCCATTGTGATGTCCTCACGCTGACACCGAAGGCCGTTGTTGACGTTGAGGCCGAGGGCCATTCTGATGTTGAGGCCGAGGGCCGTTGTGATGTGGAATAACGCTGAGGCCGAGGGCCGTTATTGATGTTGAATCACGTTGAGGCCGAGGGCTTTTGGTGATGTGAGATCACGCTAAGGCCAAACCCGTTATGCCAAGGCCGAGGGCATTGATGATGTTGAGGCTGAGGGCCGTTGTGATGTTGAGGCCGAGGGCTGTTGTGATTTTG